GGGGGTAGAGGGAGATGAGGAAGGAGGCACACAGAGAGGAAACAACTTTAACAGGATGGAGTAAGTGGGAGTAGAGCTCAGAAACTGGCTTCAGAGCCCATGCACATCCCACCAGGCTGTGCCAGCTCTGTGTGCTATGGGCATCATCCCTGGGCAGTAGGAAGGAGTGTGTTATGTAATCAGTGACACCGGGATGTTTGACCCCCTACTTCACATCATGTATAAAAAATACATGTCAGGTGAGTTAAAAGCCTAATGTTAAAAAACTAAATTGTAAAAGTTAGACAAAAATATAGGTATATTTATGTAACACTGGGGTGGGGAGGGCCTTGTTACGTAAAGCAGGAAACCCAAAAGTTATAAAGGAAAACCAATACATATAGTTAAGAAAATAAAGAACTAAAATCTGCGACACAAGCAACAGTAGACAAATGACATATACCATACTCATAACGAAAAGGTGCTATCCGAACACACAAAGGGCTCCTTTAGATGAATAATAACGAGGACACATAAAAATGAAGCATATAAATAGACAATTCAAAGAAGAGGCAATGCACAGAGGCTTAACTCACCAGTGGTCAGGGGAATGCAGATTAAAACAACCATGGGGTGGGGCGCCTGGGTGGCGCAGTCGGTTAAGCGTCCGACTTCAGCCAGGTCACGATCTCGCGGTCCGTGAGTTCGAGCCCCGCGTCGGGCTCTGGGCTGATGGCTCAGAGCCTGGACCCTGTTTCCGATTCTGTGTCTCCCTCTCTCTCTCTGCCCCTCCCCTGTTCATGCTCTGTCTCTCTCTGTCCCAAAAATAAATAAACGTTGAAAAAAAAAATTTAAAAAAAAAAATAAAAAAAAATAAAACAACCATGGGGTCCAATTTAGGGGTTTTTAGATTGTCAAAAATATAAAAGATTGACATGATCAGGCATGTCATATATATACATATACAACTGGAAAATTGCACCAAAAATTACTATAACATTGTGAGAAAGGATTTTTGTTAGTACTTTTAAAAATGAAACTGCTAATTTGACCCAGCAAGGTGAGTTCTGGAAATTAATCTGACAGTAATGAAATCACCAGGACATCAAGCTGCTTGTACAAGGTTGCCTCTTGCCACACTGTTGGTAATGCCAAATACACACACACACACACACACACACACACACACACACGAAGCAAACAACAGGGGAATGGCTGAATTCACATACAGTGAGAAATATGTGGCAACGTAAGAATGAGGAAATCAATGAGATACTATTTCAGACACATCAGACCGACACCAATGAGAATGTCTCAAGATGCAAAGTGTGTCAATGATGTAGGGAAAGTGCAACACTAAGAAACAGCTGCTAGGGGTGAAAACTGGCAGAACCCCTTTGGAATACCAGTGGTGATATCTAGAAAACTCACAGTGTGGTCTGCTATCCTGCAGGTCTACTTCTAAGAATATTCCCTAGAGAAATTCTTCCATAAGAGCACCAGGAGACAGATGAGAGAGCTCACTCTGGTGTGGCTTGTGACAGCCAGACATTAAAGACGGTCTACATGTCCATTAGCAGGAGAGTGGGTGAGCCTGGTGGTTTGTTCGTGCAATGGTGTGCTATACAGGAGCTAAGTGAATGGATGACACCTGTCTGTGTCAACCGGCTGCCCTTCAAAACAGAATGACGAGTGAAAAAAAGCAAGTCACAAAATGATCAAACGCTGTAGGTTACAAACCACTACTCTATCCGCTGCTGTGTGTGCGTGCACACCAGCCAGGTGCATACGGTCACAGTGAGAATGGGGTCAGGGCGTTATGACCTGCGTGGGCTTCTCCACTTCCCTGCCAGGCTGACTGAGGGACGAAGGCCAGCTGGGCTTGCAGCTCCCTGACAGATTGGTGACTATTCTTACTTTACTTCCAACTCTCATCTGGAAGCTCGAGAGTTCGTGTGAAAGAGGAACTCCTAGATTATGCAGACGGTGCAAAGTTCAGTGCTTCCTGAACGGAAGCAGAGGAGGGCATCTGAAGAGGGCAGATGAGTGGAAGGAGGAAGAAACAATGACGATTAGATCTAAGAAGAGGGATAACTATTTCACTGGAAAAGCCCTTGGCCCCATCTCCCTAGACCCTGTCAAAGCCCTGTCCCTGTGAAACAAACACACCACTGAATCCACTGCTCCCTAATAAAGGGGTACTTCCCAAAGGGTGCTCCACAGAGTACTTGTTCTGTGAGATGTTAAGAATTGTACGTCCAACTCTCTTGGGAAACACTGGGTGGGAGAAAAAAATTAACCACAGTCCACTACCACAGAACTTCTCAGAATTCTCACTGCTTATGTGCATCGGGAACCTCCAGGAGGAGGAGGTGATGAACAGTTTCCCAAACTTGTCTCACCACGGGAAGAAAGTTATGGGGCAGCTGCTCCAGGGCACACTTTGGAAAATACTGCGTTAAGACAACATGCCTGCAAGACTAATTTATCAGCCATTAACATCTTAGTCTGAATGACAGTGGAACTGATAAAACTTCCTGTCC